GGCTGGCGCCTTAGCCGGTTGAGCTATAGGCGCCGAGCCAAAACAATGTATTCTTAAAACTTATATTCCTTTATCAAATATTTTCAGAGTCATCTTTCTAATTTTCCATTCCTCAACTTTATATAATTTGGCATAGAAACCATGCAAACCATGTCTTCTAGAGGCCAGACACAGTAGCTCATGCCTATAATCTCAGTTTGGGAGGCTGAGGAGGGAAGATTGCTTGAGGCCAGAATTTCAAGGCCAGCCTGGACAATATAATGAGAGACCATGTCTCTAGAAAAACTTTATAAAAATATTAGCCAGGTTGTGGGGTGGGGCAGAGCAAGATGGCAGACCAGAAGGATCGTTCAGCTGAGCTCTCCTAGAACAACTGGGGAAAAAGAGAGAACCCAGCCATACCTCGTGTGGGGACCTTACCCAGAGTCATAGTTTAGGGAGCACAGCAAGGAGGTGGTGAGCTGGATACAACATATGACCCACAGAAGTGGAAATCTGATGAATTAGGCAAGTGATTGAGACTAACCCACAGCTAATATTATACTGAAGGAGTAAAACTGAAAGCTTTTCCACTTAGAACTAGAACCGGACAAGGTTGTCCTCTATCGCCACTACTATTCAACATAGTGCTGGGAGTTCTAGCCAGTACAATCAATCAGGCAAGATAAGGAAATAAAGAGCTTCCAAATGGGGGCAGAGGAGGTCAAACTCTCGCTCTTTGCCAACAATATGATCTTATACTTAGAGAACACCAAAGACTCAACCATAAGACTCCAGGAAATGATCAAAACATACAGCAATGTCTGAGGATACAAAATCAATGCACACAAATTAGTTGCCTTTGTATATGTGAGTAACAGCCAAGGTGAGAAGTTAATCAAGGACATAATTCCCTTCACAGTAGCTTCAAAAAAGAAAACTAGGAATATACCTAACAAAAGAGGTGAAGACCTCTATAAAGAAAATTGCAAAACCCTAAGAAAAGAAATAGCAAAAGATATGAACAAATGGAAGAACACACCATGCTCATGGCTGGGAGGAATCAACATTGTGAAGATGTCTATACTATCCAAAGCAATCTACAGATTTAATGCCATCCCCATTAAAATACCATCATCATACTTTCAAGATTTGGAAAAAAATAATTCTTTTTTTCGTATGGAACCAGAAGAAACCCCATATAGCCAAGGCAATTCTTAGTAATAAAAACAAAGCCAGGAACATCAGCCCATATCACAAAGTCTTAAAGCTGTAGATGCTGGCATGGATATGGAGAGAAGGGAACACTTTTACACTGCTAGTGCGACCACACACTAATATAGCCTTTTTGGAAGAAAGTACTGAGAATCCTCAAAGAACCCAAATTAGACCTCCCATTTGATCTTGCAATCCCATTACTAGG